AACCTACTAGCAGGATCCTTACATCTACTTCAGATCCCACGCTAGATACGTCAGAGACCTCATTCTCACGTCCCGGGCAACAGCACGTGTCATCTGCACCAATGACGGACGAGACTTCAGTCTCACGTCCAGATCAGCAGACCATGCCACCCCTGACTTCGGATGAGATTGCAGGCTCACGAAATACGAACGAGACTACGGTTTCACGTTCTGGTCGCTGTATACGCTTACCCATACGCTTTCGCGACTAATCGCACAGTCAACAAAGGATACGGTGTAGGACTATTCCTATACAACATGCCTGCAACACTTTTTCGCTTTTCTTTTGATTTTTTTTCGTGTCCTGTGCCCACGCATCAGACCATTCCGTCGACTTCACTCAACATTGACGAGAGCCGGTCTAGCCACCCACGCTCTTGTCAATGCACTTCGTCGATATTCTGGTTCCGAATCTGCCTAGCACATGTTTGGTTTCGCACTTGGTTGCTATGGCCGCTCCCGGTTGCTTGGCTCAACGTGGTTTCATCCTACGTCTGCAGCGTTTTCTGTTCCGCATCCCTACGAGCGCTATCTCCAGATCCTGGATACAAACCCCTCTAGTGTGGTGCGCTAACTCGAGCAACAAATACAGCACACTTCTGGTATCGTTCTCTGTAAAAGACCTTCGTTGGCAACTCGAGGATCAAGGATCGCTTCCTGTTTCGCCAATCCTCTCGTTCTACAATGGGATGTTTCCCAATCAGTCCCACGAGTCAAACCGCTACTTATTAAAAGTTTAGGCCCGTTCTAGCGGTGGGCTCCTGTAGTGACCTACTTTAATCAAGAGAACGCGTTAGATTTAATGGAAACAATCGTTATTAGAACCAATTGTACCAGTGATTGTTTTGCTTTGCTCGTTTGTTCAACTGTGCTAAAGACAGCCATATTCCTACTCCATTACTCTCCATTACTTTCCTGTAGACTGTGACCTTGTACGCTTGTACTCTCGCCCACTAATTCCGCTTGTATTCCTTTTGGCACGATCTCGGTATTCGTTCGGTACCACGAGATCGCCAACGAAATAAATCTGGTTACACTCCATCTTCGCCTTCTAGTAGGCGCTTTCTTGTAGTGGTGTTCATAGTCAATCGAGACTCGACTACACGCTACAGAATTAAGGTAAAATTAGGTGAATATAACTATCGCATATTCTAATTAAAGACTTGTCAGTATGAGGGTTGTGGAGATTATTAAGTTTTTGATCTTACGTGAAAGCCACATGATTGTCTACACTGACAATTTGATACGCAGTACTTCTGAAGAACACACTTAGGCTGAATATAGGATAATATATTTATTGCGACTAAAGACAAGATATACAGAATGACCATGTCTGCGAGGCTAAGCCACGCCATCCGATTGATTGAATTCAATATGTTTCCGCGTTCATTGTTGTTGACCTTCCCTTCGTGTCAGTTGTTAAATATAAATATACTTGGCTTCAATGGTCGTGTAATTAGGGTCCAGTGCCAATACAAATCAACCTGGAATCAAGTAAAATACAGTCATTAGTTCATACAAACTCCACATCCGCTACAGTCTAAATTGGAATCAAAGTCACAGTAAACAAGTGAACATCTCCTTTGGTTCATGATATCTGTCAGACTGTGTAATGGATACAGATTCTGGATTGGCTAAAATGTACTCATTAGTGTTAGAATTACCAACCGAAATTAAAATAGATTCACTTGGTTTCTGGAATTGTATTTGATCGACATGTCGGCTGTATGTACTTAAATCATTGATATAAAGAATTCGAACCACGGATTTTCCAACACTCTTCACCACAATCCCTGTGGCTGGTGAAAGATAATTCCCATGATAATATTTAGCTTCGCGGACTATAAACACCTTATAGTGTGGCGTCGAGTCGCGTTTGACTATGAACACCACTACAAAGAGGTTGAGTCACAGAAGGCGGTTACAGGTTGTAACGAGTTATATTCGTTGGCTGTCTCGTGGTATCGAACGAATACCGAGATCGTGCCAAAGAACCAGTGGGTGAACGTAAGAGCGTACAAGGTCACAATCAACGCAAGGAAGAATGGAAGAATAATAATGGATGTCTTTAGTACAGTTAAACAAACGAGTACAGTAAAATAATCACTGGTACAGTTGATTATAATAATAATTGTTTCCATTAAACCAATCGCGTTTTCTTGGTAAAAGTATGTCACTACAACCTCACACTCGAACGGAGAATTCTTCGTTAAGTAGCTTTGATAGTATCCCTTTCATTACAAAGTGTGTGAAGATTCCATATTGCAGTATCAATCGAAACAATTATAAACAAACACGAGCTTGAGCGACGTTGAGAGTGTAATTCATCACGACGAATGAGCAAAGTGTTGAAAATTTTCACCGACTGTAAATCATGTTCATTCACGGTCTTATAGTTAATACATTCTAATTTTATTTCTTGGAATGAACTTTGAGGTTTCTCTATTAATTCCTTTCTGAATTCAAAATATTTATGTCAGCAATCGACCGATCAAAAACTTGAGTTTCCCTTTGCTTTCTAGCATTCTACATCGCAGTCTGTTTCTGAAACCCAAGTATAAAACTTTTGATTTTCTGATCGCTTTTACTCGATTTTCGGAATTTATCTCTCTCTTCGCTAAATGTAGTACACAGCATATGATTAGGTAGTAACTCCTTCAGAGATTTATATGACAATGAAATCGGTGCGAATACAACAAACTCCACAGCTTAAATGGGAACCTAGACCCTTTTTATTTATCGTACACCGTCTTAGGTTCAATATTTATCTGTCGAGCTGTGTATTGTATATAGACTTTTTATAACCCCTTTGTAGATTGTGGGAAATCAATTCCTCGATACTATGTAAAATCGATCAATTGCGAACGTAATTTTTTTGATTAAGCGACTCCATTATTGTTTATTCGGCATACGGTCAGAAACGTCTACACTGAAAGGCTTTATCATTGCTAATTTAGCGTACGGTCTGGCAATTCCTCGCAGAAAGACTTTACCCCACGTCATCTCCGAGTCTATAAATTTTGCCGCGGTCATGGAACTAATGTTTATTTTCAAGGTCGTGGTGCTTCTTGCGCACTGGAATGAGAAAGATTTGAAGTTACGTGTAATTCTTTGCAATCCAATCCCATAGTCAACAATTTATCAGGAATTTCTTTATGACCGTCTTAGGCTGTCAACAAGGAAAGCTGTCCTTGAAGCATCCCTAGTCATTCCAGACCCAGGATAGAGGGTTCGCGACCCGTGATGAGGAATTCACAAGTTGTGCTTGGAGATTTGTCGTCTCTAGTCAGCAAATTACAACACGTAGAAATGGGAAGTTAATGACAAGTAATACTCGAAATGGAAATTCTTATAGATTTAACTAAATTAACGGAATTTAATGACTTCAACCTTCCATCTGATATTATGGGTTTGGTAATACCAGTGTCAACAATGAAATAGTGAAAAGCACCACTGGACAAATATAATCGTTCGTGAATATGAAGTGAATTACTGAGAGTTGTATACAAGGATATTATAATAAAGGATAACAAAATATACAAATCACATAAATTATTGGGATCGGAATTGCAAAGTTCAGTATTACTTGCGGTTAAACGAACAATAGTTTGACAAACCGACTGAGTGTGTCCCATTTTACCATACTCAAAGCATTTAGCGTGATAGGAGGCACATGAGTTACGTGAGTGAAATTTACCTCAAGATAAGCATTAACGGAACTTATGTTCACCTCCGTGACCCGCTTCCCGAATCCTCAATAAATTGTCATTCATGTTTTCATGAGAACGAGGATTATCATTAATTAAACGCCTACGCTCTCGACCCTGAGTAAACATCAGCTTGGGGTAACTAATTAGCGTAGCAGAATTCTTGACGTCCTGGAAGTCAGTCCTATGCACTGCATCACAATTAATACACGCACTTCGAACATCTTGGAAGAAACATTTTGGGATTTGTATGAGCTCTCTTTCAAGATTTGGTATGTTAATTTAAACAACAATCAGTTACACAGGTAAACATGCGGTTGGTAATGAAGATCGCACTTGATGGCTTGTTTAAGCAATCCGTAGATGAATTCTGTAACATTCTGGTTCTTCTGACGAACCATTTTATGAGATTTCGCTCTTTCATGACATCTGAAGTTTACATGATTTGGTAGTGGTTGTTTGAGAGTTGTATAGGCAAGTAAAATAGGCTCACCTGAAAATGTCAAAGTGTTCAGTAATCTGTAGGCATAGTTTCAGATGGATATGAGGAAATTAGCCACAATTTTATCATCTTCAACCCCTTTCCTTGTCATACTCAAAATTTCAAACCTTTCCATATGATCCTGGAAAGCTTCAGAATTTGAATGAATATCTAGCTGTCCAATTACAGGCTCCATCGCGACGCTGGTATGATAACTGGACGTGTTCGAATGGATTTACTAACTAAGAATTCTAGAAATATTGCCATCAAGTGAGGAACCGAATTTTCCTATTTTCGTGAAATTCTGAGAACTCTTTGGTTTTACTCAATTTCACTTGGTATTTTACTTCAAGTCCGTGAAATGTTTTGGCTTTTTTAAGTTGCCCGAAATGTTGCTACCCCTTCTACCCCAGTATTTCCACTAAACTGATTACATTTTCCTTAAAATCGGAAGATTGGGTGGAACTATTTGAGCAGAATGTATTACATTTGTAATTCGTAATAAGCATGCGACCGCTTAAAAATTAATTATAAGTCGATACAATTATCTCGAAAATATATTTCGTGAAAAACTAAAGAAAATGCTGCTCGTCACTAATGTAATTTATCTCAATAATTGTAGATACTGTCATCTTCCATTCTCACTGCTGAATTCCTAACAAGTGATGTTCTTGAGAACGTTTCGGAATACACATATGATATAGATAATCTTGCGAAACTACTACCAATCAATTGAGAGCCTGATCTTGTTTAACTATCCTATTGTGGATTCTCTCACCTTGGTCGAGACATAAGAGATCTTGAATTTATGGAGGTCAGAAGGAGAAATGTGCATACCACCAACAAAGGTCCGAGGCCTAGTGTCTCACAAATAGTGAATGAGCTAGATGTCTTCCCAAAACTTCCACGAGAATGCAAAAAATCAACATGGAGTGGTGGTCTAGGTAATTATATACGGTTAAAAATCTCAAGTCTTCAGTTACTATTCTAACATTTTGTTGCATATCTTGGTTGCTTATAATGGAATGTCGAAGTTATCTTGATCCCCCCGTCAATTATTCTTACGAATTAGATAAATCTACCTCTGGGTAAGAATTTTCTTCTCCAGATCTTGTTCTAGAAAAGTAAAAGTCAATATTGACATTGTTGTTGCCTCACCATGCCATGGTAAGTTTCTCACATCTACATGACATCTTAGATGTTTCAATGGATGTGGTGGATACTTCTGGGTCCTCTCTGTCTGATGAAGAGAATATTCAGTACTTACCAACATCTTTCGAACTTAGCCCATCAGCCCGAGCCGCATTCAAAGTATGTATCCTGAACCGTAATACCCATGGTTTTATCTTTTTCCAAGTACCATAATTCTCCCTGCATTATACTGTTAGTATTAATATTTCCGAAACGGAAGGTGCATAAGAAAAGTTTCCTGAGTTTCTTATCTAAGGAAACGAACTCATAGTTCACCTATCGATATGGTAAACATTATATTACCTTCGTACGTGCGTCGGAAAATTCGTCATACTGTTAACTTATTTGATTAACTCGGTTTTAAAAGCATGGTACGCAGAGTTCTTCACCAAACTAGTTTCATCATCCTTTTGGTAGTGTTCGGTAAATTTTATATTCATCGTCAACGTTGCTAGACAATGAATTCCTAGAAAAATTATTATATGTTTGATTTTCAATAATACATGTATAATTTCGACCAGACCAACTTCAAAGTTTTTTAAAGTTGTGCTCCACGGAAATCTCGTCAAGAACTTGAGCTGAAAGTCAAGGACAACACTAAACTTCTTTCATCATGCTATTGTTCTTTATTAAATTGTTTCCTAACGTTCACAAGGTCTAGTTTTTAATCGTGTAGACTTTCCAGATATGTTTGATGCTCCCAATGTCTGGTCGTTATTCTGTGATATTTTCTTCTTATACTTCAACAGTATCGACAATATATAGCTGGGGCTCTCCGTGCAAAACATCATACTATACAGCATTGGTTGTGGAAATATGCCTCTGAGACAAGTGTTTTCACAGACTTTGAAGTCCCTGTGGTTAATAAAAAGGTTTCTGATGACCGAAATTCTGATGCTTGTCGAATCGTTGGTACTTTGTTCGTTAAAAAGGTTGGAGGAAACATACATATACTATTTGGGAAGTAAGTAACTATTCCTTTACTACTTGAAGACATTAACGTTTTCATTTGTGTCGTATGTACTGACATATCAATTATTGTACACTAGAATATTCGACCATATAAGTTATTTAGAAATATCTTAGATTATCAGATCCACAATTTCTATACTATTCACTAGGTACCTTTTCTTAACAAACCGCTTGTTGTTTGTATCACTTATATTCAAATATTCAGATGTAGCAATAGTGATTTGTTCGGCCGGAAAACCCATGGGTCCCCAGTTGACTCGTTACTAATTGTTCTATATGTTGAGGGGTTTAAAAGCATATGTCTAACAAATGAAATTTGATAAATTATATCACCTTTATTCAGAAATCCAAATTTGTCTCATGTCTGTCCTTTTTTCCTTGTGCCAAAGATATATCATTGGGTTCATTTGTATGATACTGGATGTATCGTTTGTTTCATCCTCTTGGAACATTGTTTTGCTATAAGTTTTTGAACATAATTTGAATTGGTTAGTTCTCACTTCACTAAAAGCACCACCAAACTTGCTAGTGCGACATGTTAAATTATATTGTGAAACTGAGTTGTGGTATTAGTCATCTTTACGCGTGTACTTCATCAAAATTAGAGAGAGTGTACTTGCACTCATCTTACAAATTATTGAAATAAGTTTGAATTTGTCGGAATAGTTTAATATATCAGTAGGTAGTTTGAGTGGATTGTTTGAGGCGTCAGACTTCCAATTATTGAACCCAAAGAACGCCCAAACGAGGACAAACCGTTAATGTGTGGTTCAGGGTTAAGACAAAACAATTGTCCTTTGCTTGTTAGTTGCCATTAATAGTGCTCTAGCTGGAATCATTTAACTGACTTCCACAAACCGCCTGACTCAATAATTAGTAAAATCACTAAATCTTGCAATTCACCATGTCTTAAAGCGTATATTTTTTGCTACGGTTCGTGCGACATTCTATTATGTGTATAGAGTTCTCATACAACATTACTCTAAACCTTAGGTCCGTTCGTTTGTTATTTTTTTGTAGATTTTTGGCATTATTTTTTACATCCTTCATTTGGCGATTGTGTTCACTTTCTTTTGAACTATACTCTTTACTCTCACCTCGGTTGACAGTATCGCTCTTGTCAGTTTTGTCATTGACTTTAGACCGTTATGGCCTGTTCTAAGTCCTCCTTTACTGTTAACTGACTGACCTGCCTATCATCCTTTGTATAACCAGGTAGTACCACAGGTTTTTATATAAACATTGTAACTATAGGCTGAGTACATAAATCTATAATTGATTACTTAATTATACTAGATAAATTGCAGGGAGACATGATTAAAAAAATATCCTAAAACGTTAACATAGTCTTTAAAAGTCCTTTTATTTTGAATGAGTTAAAATACACAAAATATGTACTTTGCAAGAACGTTAGCGAAAATAGAAAGCTTTAGCATCTCACACCCTTTAGTCCATCAGGGATCGAAGTAAATACCTTTAGGTCTCGCGGCAGACGATTAATCATTAAGTCCTCTTGGTTGGGGTCGGGTGGCACTCATTTACAACTTCAACTAATGGGTAATATACCACGACAATAATCAGATAGCATTGGTGACAAATATTTTATTCTGGAGATTTATGAACTCCACTGGTCATGACTTCCCACTAACGCTTCATTAGCTCGTCTTGAAGTAAGTCACTAGTGATCTGAAGACTTTTATTCTGGATAGTGAAGTTTTCTTCTTAGTAGGATGAAACAACGTTGTTATTCCTAGTTTTTGATTATCTCGAACTACAACCAATTCGTGTTGAATATCCTACAAAATTGAACTAATCTTAAAAATCTCTTTTATCTAGAATTGAAATTTTTGAAATAAGTATATGGTATATATATGGAGTCGAAAAAAATAAAGAAATGTATTATATATTCTAAAGGAAATGCGAAACAAACTTATTTGTACACACTTTGACTTTGTGCATATATCAAGCCACCTCCTACCCCTACATAGAATGCTAAATGATGTAGGAGTAGGTTATAAAGAGCCTCGCAACGACCAAGTCAAGATGTGACATCATCCTTATGAATCGTTGACTGTTGACTTAAACTATATAGTGTGGTGTTGACTTCCTAGTTGGGGTCCTCGCTGCAATTGTGCTCAGTGGTCTAAGAAGTTTGGTAAAATGTTCCAAATTATTGGCACAGATGCCTTCCTTGGTCATCTTCTAAATCTTGTGTTTAAATACTTCATACTTTCGGTTTATCGGTTTTATTCTTTCTCTCCGAACCGTGTTGTTTGTATTCAGGCTCATATTACCATGATTTTATACTTTCTATTGTGCATCACGTTAGTTTGCTGTACGGCTATACTGTGGCAACTTACGTCTCTGCATATTTGTTTCAAGTTTTATGTTGTTTATAGGTGATTGACCAAAGGGTTCCATTACTTGTATTGGTCGTTAACTTACTACTCACTTTATTTTGTTTCCACATCTTTCCCTTTCCTTCATGATTCGTTTACAGACCTCTGAACGGGTTCGGTAATTTTCATCTACATGTTGTACCATTTTCAAGCCAATCGGGTGAGTCTTTTAAATTGCAAGGGGACGTTATTAAGAGCTTTTTAAAAGGCACCCGTTTTTATGTATCAGGTTGTTCAAACAAAAAATTTCTAGTCTTCGGTCATATGTTTGAACACCTCTTCCCTACTCCGGTCACACCAGCCAGATATTATAACTAGCTTCTACATAAAGTGTGTGGCTTCAAGTGGATCCCATAAAGGGCATGTGCTTTCTAAATAAGTCATTTGTTTAATCTTCAATATTTTAAGGTTTTCAAGCACTTAAAATACCTTTCGTACACAAGACTATCCCGTTGTTATAAACAAATCATGGAGATGTTTTCATCAGTGGTTCCTATTTCCACGTTCAGTCCAGTTACTATTAAAAATCAGGAAACTCAGAATGAGTGCTTCTCTATGCTTTTAAGCTCATTAATGTCCATTATATTTTATTCAGCGCAGATTCCAGTAAGTCACCTTTTGTAGTGGTCGCACAAGTTTCTTGATAACAGTGGAGTTATCCATTTTAAAACGCCACTCTATATTCTGTACTAACTTTGATTTCCTCAAGATACCAGTACAGTTACTAATAGTGTTCGATTAACATAAACTCCGCCTGGAATCCCTCCGGCGCTAACCAGTAACACTGAGTATTTGCCTCCATATATGATCAATAATGCAGGGGTTTTGTGTCATTCCTTAGGTGATCAAAGCCTAGGGGCTTCAAGCCGTGTAGCAAGTTTAGTACCTTTAAATCATTAAATCCGAAAGCCAGTGATTTGTTTTTGGACAAACACATATATTTGAATTTACTCTAATTAATGTAAAGTATCGTACCCGCTGAAAGACTCAGAAATGTAGATTTTGGTTCTGTTTGGTGCAGTGGATATAGACTGGTAAAGCTACTTAAAGCGGAGCAAAACAACTGCCTAGTTCTTTCTAGCTTTAAGTAGTTGTTCAGTTTAGTATGTCAGTCCGTTACTCAAATCATTTTTCAAAATAAAATTTCCTTCAAAACTTAACAATCGACTTTACCATTCGTAGATTGAACAATTAGAGACCTATCCATCACATACTATTTTATCCTACGTCAAATATTTTTTTTCGTTTTTTTTATTGTCTGCTAATTTATATTAAATGTAGTAGTTCACTTGTTAAGCTCTGTTCAGCCTATTACTTTGAAGTAGGTCAACTGAAGTTATTTGTATGTTGGATCGAATTTAATGCAGTGTTCCAGCCAGTAACTGATGGTTCCAGTGATAGCATACTTTCCGATAACAAAATTCATATTATGAAAGTTACACTTATGTTATCCCACAACGATAAAAAACATTTTTAGTTTGGAAGAAAAATTTCGAAAGTGTTCTAATTTCTAAGTTGGATTCTTAAATCGTGAGGTTTTCATTGTCTTTCTAAGATAACATAATCAGTCAATCATAATCAATGTAAAGCCTGACATCAATGTACGTCAGCTCGAATTCTCATACCACATAAGCTTGGCAAAATGAATAGCAAAGGAGTCGAAACAATTGTTGTATCAATAGTAATAAAAAAATACAATTTTGAAAATGTGGTTCAAAAGAGTAGAACGAAAAGGTACGCATAAAGGAATACTGGAACTCGAGATCTAGAGAAAGATAAAAAGCAACTGGATCTGTGTTATGTTTCGTTATTGCTTGAATGCGATTACTGATGCGTCTTACTCGAAACGGAACGAAGGATCAATGATTCAGCGACTCGATAGACTATTCTGGTCCGTTGTCTTCGACTCAGCTAACTCGATCAAGAAGTCTTGGTAAGGCGTAGAAAGTATATTCTACAAGCAACAGCAGATAACAAGTCAGGCAGGCAGATCAGATCAAGCATACAAGTCAAGCGTATTTATACAATTATTTACAATCGATATTGTCATAGAAAATTTTTAAACATTAATCAATGAGTTCATTAATTGACCTATTTGCGCATTTAATCGATAGTTCATCAATTGACCCCAATAAAAATATCTAACATTTGATCGATAAGATAAAATTTAAAATATGAGTTTGGGGATCTATCGTCCCCAACACTCCTCCCCTTTTTAATAGCGGGCTTTCCTGGGGTCAACCTGCATCCTGACTGTTGCTCGCCGTTCTCGGATAGGCCACCGTCTGTGACGTGTTTCAGCTTGTTGTTGAGGTTTTTCTTTTGGTGGGGTTGCCGGTAAGTTGAATGTGTCTAGCAGGATGTCAAGAGGAATATTTGATTCTGTTGATGGGCGGTCTGGGGCTAACCGTTTGCGTAACTGATTCCGATGGCGTTGCCACCTGTCACTACCTACCTCAACTTCGTACATGACTCGGCCAACTCTTCTGACCACTCGCGCTTCTGTCCATGGACTATGGGTCGGTCTGTAATCACGGGCAAACACCGGACATCCCACTTCGTACGTGGATTGCTTTTCAAACTTTGTCCGTACTGGTGTAGTTGCATTACTTGGATGCATCAGGCTGTGGATCGTCTTCAGTCTTCTTCCCATTAGGATCTCTGCTGGGGACTTTCGCTCCGGCAACGTTTCATTTGGTGTTGTTCGATACACGTATAAGAAATTTTGCAACGCGTCTGCTGGCGTCCCCTCCCCTTTTGTTTTAGCCAAGGCTCTTTTAAACGTATCCACAAACCTTTCTGCTTGCCCATTCGACTGCAGGTGGTATGGTGGCGAGCGTAAGTGCTTTATGGCTAGTCGTTGACAGAATGACTGGAATTGGCTGGAGGTGAACTGTGAACCGTTGTCAGATACAATAGTATCTGGTATACCATTTCGGGAGAAAATTTCTGTGAGGATCTGTATTGTTTTAGTTGTCGTTGGCGGTATGATAGGGTTGATTTCAGGCCATTTCGAAAGGGCGTCGACTACAACTAGATACATGGTTCCGTTAATCGGGCCTGCAAAGTCGACGTGTATTCTGGACCAAGGATGATCAGGTTGTGGCCATGAAACTGGTGGAACTTTGGCGTTCATTTTTGCCGCTTGCTGACACCGCATACATTTCCCAACCAATTCTGTTATATGTTGATCCATTAGCGGCCAATACGCATGACTCCTGGCTATGGATTTCATTCGTCTAACCCCCGGATGACCAAGGTGGAACTGTTTCAGCACTTTTGCACGAAGGGATTCTGGCACAACCACTCTCTCTCCGAACATCAAGCAGTCGTTCACAATGCATAGAGAATCCCGCCGCTGATACAGCTGTTTTATATCACCATCAAACTTCTTAGTCGGCCAACCGTTGGTGACATAGTTCATAGTTCTCTTGATGATGGGGTCGCTCTTAGAAGCATTTTGTATGTCCGTTGCAGATACCGGCAAAGTTCGTATTGCGGTCGTCAGATAACATTCGGCGTGGTCTTCCGCTAGCAGAGATGCAATTACCGTGTTTTCCTCAGCCGCCAACTGGTCACTAATGAGTCGTGATAAGGCATCCGCCTGACCGAATTGTTGAGTGCGTCGGTACTGGATCTCGAAATCATACCCCAAGAGTGCTAAGGCCCATCTCTGAAGGCGATTTGCTGAATGAGCTGGAATGCCAGATTTTAACCCGAATATTGCGAGTAAAGGCTTGTGATCTGTGAGAAGCGTGAATCTCCGACCGTACAGGAACTTGTGGAAACGGCGCACAGCAAACACAAGTGCAAGCGCTTCTTTTTCTATCTGGCTGTATTTTTTTTCTGCTGGGGTTAGTGTACGGGCTGCATGCATAATGGCTTTTTCCGACGCATCCGGAAACTGATGGGAGATAACAGCGCCTAGGCCATTCGCTGAAGCGTCTGCAGCTACGATGATCGGCATGGCTGGATCGTAGTGTGTCAACAGCAATTCAGAACTAATAATGGACTTCAGTTTACAAAAGGCAGTGTCACACTGTTTTGTCCAGTTCCAAGAGCTGTTCTTCTGCAGTAAGCTATTGAGTGGAGCGCGAATATCATGCATCGATGGAACGAACGCTGAGTAATAGCTGACAAGTCCCAGGAAGGAACGTAGTGCCGAGACATTAGTGGGAGTGGGCATCAGTTTGATAGCTCGGATATTCTCAGGATCCGGCCTGCGGCCGTCGGCATCGAAAATGAACCCCAAGTATTTTACCGACTGTAAATAAAACTGGCATTTCTCTGGGCGTAACCGGAACCCGTTGTCACTGATGCGTTGCAGTACCAATGTCGTGCGTTCTCGTAGTTGTTCTAATGTCGTTGCTACAATTAAAATGTCATCCAAATAAGCCGTGACTCCCGAGATACCTGATAGGATGGTATCCATTAATTGTTGGAAAATAGATGGTGCAGTTTTGACTCCGAAAGGTAGACGGTTATACTGGAACAAACCACGATGAGTATTGATAGTTAACAGCTCTCTTGATGCTTCATCTACTTCCACTTGCAAATAAGCATCAGCTAGATCCAGCTTAGCGAAAAATCTTCCCCCATTCAGCATGGTAAATAGGTCTGCGGGAACAGGCAAGGGATAATGATGTTGTTCCAGAGCTGCATTGAGACCTGTTGAAAAGTCAGCACATATACGTATCGTGCCGTTGGCCTTCTTAATAACCACGATAGGTGCTGCCCATGCAGAGTAGGAAACGGGAGTGATAACTCCTTGTTGTTGAAGGCGGTTCAATTCTTCATCTACTGTTTGTAATGTTGCATAAGGGACAGGTCTCTTTGGGCGAAAAACAGGCTTAGCCCCAGTTTTCAATCGAAGTGTTGCTTTCATGACAGAGCAGCGACCCAATCCAGGTTGGAAAATAGTTGAAAACTGAGTCATTAGGGTGCTCGTATATGATTCGAAGTCATGTGGTTGTTGTCGCAGTTGTGGTTGTGATACCAGGTTGCATATGGTATTCAACGGGACGTCAGCTAATTTTAAGTGATCAAACCAATCTAACCCGAGCAAATTTAGATCAGCTGGGGTTATGTAGCATACCCCAACAAATGCCAAACCACGGAAGGTAACTGTACATTCCATTTTTCCTAGCAGGTGAAGGTAATTACCACAGGCAGTACGAGGCTTTTGCGTTGTATGCTGCAAGTTTGGGCTGCCCATTTTGATCCAAGTCTTACGAGAGAGGATAGTGACATCTGATGCTGTATCTATTTGCAATTTAGATGAATGCCCATTAATGTTAACAGTAATAAATTTTCTCTGACTTGATGATGAGCTTTGACACGAAGATACTAAGCTCAATGAACTAGTGCGGGATCTAGGACGGGGCTTGTTGGTATTTCTTGATTGACTTGGAGTCTTCTTCCTCAGACAAAACCCATCCTTATGACCGATAACCTTACACTTCTTGCATCGATGTTGTTTAAATGGGCAGTTTCGAACGTAGTGCCATGCACCACATTGCCAGCAAGGAGCAGGAGGAGTTGCTTTAGTCTGTCGTCTAGAGCTGGAGTGAGATGGACTGGATGAAACGTGGACGTGTTTGTTTTTGTGAGGTGTCTGTTGCACCGCTCGTACTTCAAATCGGCTAGAACCACCACTCTGGACCATAGAAGTGTCTCGTTGAAGATTAATGAGACGTTGATATTCATTAGCTATATCACTCAGGGTGAGTTTCGGTTCTTGATCCAAACGACTTAGTAGCCTTGTTCGTAAGTCACTGAACTTTTGGTGCTGTAGGCTGCAAATAAGGATCAGGGCTTTAAACTGATCTTCAGTCAAGGACTTTAACCGGAAGCGTTCGCATTCACGGTTGACGACGCCCACATGCGTAAGAAAATCATCATCTTCGTTCATAGTTAGCTTCAAGCAACGATAATGAGTATTAAACAGTGACGAGTTATCGCCAAAATGTTGGATTAATGTTTGAACTGTGTCTGCAAATGATCGGTCACGTGGGTTCAACGGCAAGATCAGATTGCAATACTTGTCCAGCTCATTTGCACCCAGTTTACGAAGTAGCAGCCGCACTTTCCAAGCATCATCTTGATTGGCGAAATCAAATTTAAATAGATCTTCATAACGCCTGAACCACATTTCAAAAGTAACATTAGAATCAGGATCGTAATGAAATTCAGCTATGCTATTTGCGATGCCATCTACTGATGGTGCTGTGGTTGAACTAGACGTGCTTGGCTGTAAGAGAGGCGTAACCTTGGTCTCCATTAACATTTGCATCAATTTTAGCTGCTGCTCAAGTAACAGTTCAAGTTTGGTAGGGTCCATAATCGAAAAACCACCGTCGCCAATTTGTTATGTTTCGTTATTGCTTGAATGCGATTACTGATGCGTCTTACTCGAAACGGAACGAAGGATCAATGATTCAGCGACTCGATAGACTATTCTGGTCCGTTGTCTTCGACTCAGCTAACTCGATCAAGAAGTCTTGGTAAGGCGTAGAAAGTATATTCTACAAGCAACAGCAGATAACAAGTCAGGCAGGCAGATCAGATCAAGCATACAAGTCAAGCGTATTTATACAATTATTTACAATCGATATTGTCATAGAAAATTTTTAAACATTAATCAATGAGTTCATTAATTGACCTATTTGCGCATTTAATCGATAGTTCATCAATTGACCCCAATAAAAATATCTAACATTTGATCGATAAGATAAAATTTAAAATATGAGTTTGGGGATCTATCGTCCCCAACAATCTGTGCCAGTGTTACCGCTTATGAGCCATGTCACCCAACCTTTTTGTTCAGTGATTACAGTTATCTCTCAAACTCCAACTACATAGTCTAGATCGGTTATCATGGCTAAGACCAACAATCAATGAATTCATGGACTAATCTCACGTTTGGCTGCTCTTAGCTTACCTTCACCCCGATTGTACATCAACAAATACCGCCCGTCGATGAGTATGATTGTTGAACATGCGTGATACATGTCCCAGCCATTTCTATCGATAAAGCTTCCCAACCTCGTTAATCAAATCGCCATCTTTAGTTATTTCTTTGCATCTAACCTGACTATTACTCACTCAGTTACTTCACAGAGACATCTCTATAATTAAAAACCTTCAGTCTTCTCACCCCTCGTACTTCCATGGACCATCTTGCATAACCATGGGGAGTGATTCAACGAGGATTGTTGTGCAGCATTCTCTCTATTTGGTTGACAGACGAATAACATTGGGGTTTACTTCATAAAGAAGTAAGGTATCAAAATTTATTCACGAGTGACTGATACCAAATTTTTTTAGTTGATCAACTTTATCTCACAATTATATTGTCCAGTGATTATCAACTTATTACTTGCTTGTTTTTGGGTTTTGCATTGATAGTTTTGGTATTTAGAAAGATAATGAGAGTTCCACAAGTTAACCATTCAGTTTAAAGAACGGGATATTTCTAAAACATTGTAGTTTACACCACGGAATTACCTCCGTTGGACAACTACTGAAAGTCAGGAGACATTAAACAGTTTCGTTCTAATGTGGGACTCCTCAACAGCACGCATGCGCAACCTTATGGGTGATCAGACTCTAGCTAAACCTCCAGGTCTCACGACAAGCTCTAGACCCCTAGATCATTGGCTTGCTGTTCAATAGTTTAAATGTCTAAATTAAATCAGTTCACAATATTGTTTGACCATCCAATGGTATTTGTTGGTAAAAGTCCTCCAACGCGACATGGTTAGACTTTACTTTTTACGGTTTCTCGCTAGAACTTTGAGAACTGCCTCTCGAAATTACTCACAACTGAGCACAAGGTAAGTCCGTGATGTAAACCATAAAACTCAACAATCTCCACAAACTCCTTACGCTTTCAAAAGGTATTTTTCATGCATATTATTGTGCAATTAAAAAACTATTCTGTTGAAAATGATCAATTTTCCACCTCTTCCCTTTTCTCTTCTTTGTTGATTTTAGTTCAGAATTTCAGTCATCGAATAAATCATTTTTCTTTTGGTGATCTAGTTAATGGACAAATACATCCGTTAGAAGCTGTTGAATCTGTTACTGATGTTGGTGAGTTTATTTTGATCACAAGAGAATTTATTATAACTTAAGCTAAATCACTCAAGTCAAAACTTGTAAATCCCATTTCCATTTACCTGTGTTATAACCTGTCCTTCTCTGCACAATTCAAAAATATCGACTCCAGGATGACTGTATTGAGTAAAAATAACATAGTTACTCTCCCACACTATACCCTCAAAATTTTAATTCTTTCCCAACGTTAAAACAATTCTGATGTACAACTGTAAAGGATATATTTTGTGGGGGAAAAAGGTCCCACACTTTATACCCAAATTTCCTTTTCAGTGATTCTTAATTATAATTTAGCTAACTACAACCTAAAAACAAATTTCATACTGAATAAATATATAACGGAAATTGTCAGAATACAGTGTAATAACATACTGAAATTATTGACAAGTGGATTTTAAACTGAACGATTATTATATTGAATCCACTAATGATCTTACTGTTTTAGTCTCTTCCTACCAATTAGTCAGTCAACAACGTAGATCTTCGTACGTACATACATCAGTTCCAGTTGCCATACCACATTAACCTTCTTATCAATAAGGTCAACTGAAATACAAAGCTAAATAAATTTATGTATAGTTAGAAAAGAACAAATGATATTGATAAACAAAGCTTATTTGATAATTTTGTGTTCAAAATCCAAGGGGGGGAATAATGAATGTAACTTAATCACTGTTATAACTTATGGGTTTGTGCCCCTATCAATGTAATAACGTAATGATAACGCCAGTTAGAGAACAATGATTTATCAACCGGACCAATGACGTCTAAAACACATGCGGACAGTTTAGAGTACTTATCGGTCCTGCTTCCTGCCTAGCCCAGCCAGTTAAGTTCAGAACACCAACCTCAGCCTCTGCGATATGAATCACTTATTTCAAACATACTCAGTTTATATACCAATCAGACAGACCACATCGTACCATAAAATGGGAAACAACGCTTGTACAAGATTTAGCCAAAAGTGGCTGTGAATGTGGGAGATAGTAATTGATAGACTGGGTATAACTCAATAATGGTAAATCGTATAATAATAGTTCATAGGTGAAAATAAGACTCATAATAAGAGAGGACATGAATATGAATAGTTTAGTTATTTAACAATTATACGATAAAAATAAGCGCTTAGTATTGGTCCATAAATGGATCCCTACAGTTACCATTCATTATTCCCATCGGGATATAACAATTACTTTAGTTAATTTCAACTTGTCTCACATACACTTCCTGTTCTGATATGATATGATTTTCTGGTCGTTTTTTAAGCGCATTTTCAATCTGCTATTGTGACTGTTTACATTGATCGTCATGTGCAACATGTATATCAATTATTTTAGTTGATCAAAGTTTACACGATCATCATTCTTGTCATTGTTTTACTGAAGATCCTATTCACAACCTCAGGATTACTCATTTAACGGTCCTGACCTCGCTTCCATTTGTGTTAAAATGGTGTTGCTGATGTTACTTGCTATCCGTGAGGAAAACTTTACTGCTACAATACTCCAATACAGTCACCGGCACAAATTTACATTAAAACTTGCGGTTAGGAATTAAGGTGTTTGTTTGTCGACTTTAAAGAGATTTAAGTGACTTTAGTCGGTTATGAAGCTATATATACTGCATGCTATCTTGGTGTCTCTCTCATATACACCGCACTTGCACACATGCTCACATTATTTAATTACACCCAAAATGTAACTTTGTTTACCAGGAAAAAAACACAAATATATCCATTGTAACCTTTTGTGTATGTTAATTGTTTCTTCAAATTTAGCCTTTACATCATTTCAATATTTTGTCACAATGGTCCCTACCAAAGTGGTTAATCATTTTCATATTACAGAAACTTATCAGTATGCAGCAACTTTACAGGTGATTATTAATATTTTCTTAAAGTTTAAATCGTTTAATATTAGTAATGAATGTTTTCATTGATAATTATGCTAAAAAAATTTACCCAATGTATTTATTGCAAGAAAATGTTGAATTTTAGGGTTGTAGATTAGAACTGTATTATATGCCTACTTCAGTTTGAGAAGTGTCTGAGGCGAGATTATGATTTATGGACGAGTCAATCAGATTTAAGATAAGAGGTCTTGGATTTTAGCGCAAAATTCATTCACTCATTTGGCTAAATACTATTTCGGCATTATAGCTGTTGTCAGTTCGTAATGAAAATCCTAAATCTACTTCCTAACCCTAAACAACTGTAAATCATAATTACAATTCCTCATACTGGTTTATAACCCTCATTTAGTCCTAGTTAGTAGGTGGATATTTTCAAGGTCATCTTAGCGTTGCTCAAAGGTCGTCCATAAATTATAGTCTCACCGTGTGTTAGCTGACTTGTCGAGTGGATTGGTGTCCAAGATTACTAAGCAATAGGATTAGCTGGGTTATAATAAGAGAGAATTATAACACCCACCGTGTCTGATCGTACCATAAACCTGTACTTGTTCATTGAATTATATTACAGTACTATATGAAAATATAATAATTAACGTGCATTATTTTCTAGATATTGCTATCATACAACGTGTAGTTATTGTTAGTGCTTCTGCTCGCACACATTAGTTATTTTGTTATCGTCCCAATTCAAGAGTGTAGTCTTTGAAAAATGTTAAAAAAAAAAACACATTTAACTAACTCACTTATCAAGGTATAAATCATTGCACTCAACATTTAGAGTTAATTATAATACCACCTAATCATATTCAAACAACAGTAAATTGACCTGGATTTCGAACATAAAGTCAAGTGATTTAAAGTCCAGGTGATTTATACAAGTCACTGTTTACTTTAATTATAGTTTAGTGGCCCGTAGATCTGACTCCTATTTAGATCGTACGAATGTTTGTTATCGCCTATTCTCGTATATAATCGTCGACTTAAATCACGTTAGTCAATAACGGAATTAAATAAGTCAAATAACGAGAATGGGATTTTGAATACATATATTTTGTATATGAGGTGAATGGAATAGCAGGAAGAGAAGCGACGCAGAGTGAAGATGGCCGGTAATCCAACTCATTTTTAGTCAGGCGTTAATTAATATTTATAGGCAGACAAAAATAAGCTACAAACATGTGATGAGACATGGGATAAGAAGTGTACACACATATACGCTCATATAAAAACAGTCAAGACTGATAAGCGAATAATTGACAAGGTCAAAATATGACTCAAGTAGAATGAATAGAATGGGATGTCCGAATAAGGTATATAGGCTTAACATAATAACTGACACTACAATAGACAAAATATGTATACAGTTAAGTGTATCATTTTAGGAATTATAATTTTGAATTAAAAAATACAGGTTACTCAGAGCTACTTAAGTGGTTATGTAAACAATTACAAACTAATCGATATATTCCAGAGTTAGTCATTCGTAGTTGAAAGAATCACGTAGTAAGATGGAGGTTGGAGGTAGTCAACAGGAAACCCTAGACCCGGGTTATCATGCTACTTGGCACTCGTCAGCAAGGTGTACCTGTAATCTTGAGGGAACTGGTGCCTCCTGACGGATTCGACCCCGTATCATACAACTTCACAGCCAGAGACGTTACCACTGAGCTCTCCGGGCCGCGACCGACCTCCTGTAGGATTGAGATGCAATCAAAAGTGATCGATCACTTGGTGGTGATCAATGTCATGTGTGTCAATCCTTAATGCAGATCGAATGCTATCGACCAAGTTGCATTGTAATCTAGGTGACTCGACATTGCGTGCATTATTTTGAGATAAGATGGTACACCTTGCTGACGAGTGCCAAGTATCACGAAACAGGGGTCCAGGGTTTCCTGTTGACTACCTCCAACCACCATCTTATCTCAACATAGTGCACGCAATGTCGAGTCACCTAGACTAGTGGCCACATTGCAACTTGGTTGATAGCATTCGATCTGCACTAAGGACTTCACACACATGACATTGATCACCACCCAGTGATCAATCAACTGTGAAAGAATCACGTAGTATTGGTCTGATGATTAAAGGAATCCGTTTTCAGCCAATGCATTTCAGATTTGAACCCCACTTTACCTACCTTTTTAAAGTAAAATAAGTAACAGTTATAGTGTTGGCTCTCACAGTGCTAATGTAGCCTAAAGGAACGTTCATAAGCCTATACGCTATAGCATTACATATGGAGAAAATTAACACCACAATCTTTTTAAAAGTAAATAGTTCACCTTCCTGCCAACTAAAATATTATAATTGCCATTAGTCAAATAACTAAAAACAGGGTACTGGAAGTACATTTTCACCGGAAAAACTTTCCAAACCTTCATATCATAGTCATCTCATGAAAACTATTAATAAAATGTAAAGTAAATAGAATTTGAAATAGCAGTAGAAAACTAAGACAAAAGAATGTGGAAAAACAAAATCAAATAACTCCTATCATAAAAGAAGGTCAAAACAGAATTTTTAAAGAGAATAGAAAGCGAACGCACCTGCACAAACTCTTTAGATAAGGTCTCCAATGGTTGACTACAGTTATCGCGTAGACTTCCAATAAGTAATGTAAACAAAGTGACCTCGATTACTGTTAGATATATCAGGGTATTTATCACTTCCCAACCTCCCATATCCTAAATCCATACTTTTCTTTCTGGGACATGAAAAAAACTGAATTAGTAGTAATAGTAGTCTCGACGAACCTGGAGTGTGATCGCAGAGTCCGTGGGACATCTGCTGGAGGCTGATCACTAAACCCTTTGAAAGTAGCTGTTGATTTGTTAGGTGTGGACTTTTAAAGTTTATTTAAACACGTAAACTTTGGTACAAGGATGCACCAAATGCATACATACATACTGAACGGATAACAAGATCGAACCAGGTAGTTTTCTTAGAGGGCCACACCTCGAGCCTATGACCTAAAGGTCTGATCCACAAGGCAGTGGGGCAATGTCAGGAGATACAGTCCCATGGTGACCGGTGACCAATAATTGGTTCATACGCCATTTGTTCCTTCAGGATCCTGAAGCCAGTTTGTGTGTACCATTGGTTCGGAATCAGCGTCTTCCAACTTCCCTAGGTAGACTCTCCGTGTCCACCAACCCAGTTAAAGCTCCTGTCGGACATTCGCTTTTCGTCCTTTCAATTTCGTAGAGAACACCCTCGCCTTGAGACTTATCACGGGACAACTAGGTGAGATGTGGTATTTTTAGACGTCACATTTCCTAAACCCCTCATTCTGTTGTGATAATACACTATCGAACCAGATGCTGGTTGTCTGATGGACAATCACCTTACTTCTGTCGCACCCCAATACAATCATCACTATGAATTCGCTTTCGAACTATGACTTTAGTGTTTCTAATCTCGCACTCTAATCGAACTGTCTGGTGTGGAAGGATGTGTATTCTAGTTAATATGAATCGATTGTGTCACCATCATAGACAAACCTGATCATCACGTCAAGATGACAGCTACGGTTGGGAAGTGAAATTCGACCAGGAGATATTCACCTCTTTGGCGAACGAGATCAAACGATAGTGAGTTAATTAGCATTGCTGTTAAGATTTTAAGTAATCACGATGAATATTATATATTCAATGGGTAAAGATAATATGTCGAAATAGTAATTTTGCTAAATAGATCAATTATAATTTCAAATGCTAATTTCAACAAATGAATTGCGACATGCTGTCAACACTTATAATAATCAAGTCATGAGTTGAAAAGCCTTATTAAACTCAACGAATTGAAATTAATGGGAGAGATGACGAAAGAGTTGAAATGATAGTAGTATCAATTATGGTATTGAGAAAAACTGAAAATTGATCAATACATATTAGTAATTTCCCGTTGCTGATATCCAGGATCGCAATTAATCAGTCTGCTGTTATATGTACACCCTGAATCGATTCTCTCATTTATAGTCTTTTATTTCAAGTTATTATATATTCAGTATGTGGCTAGCAGTGGGATTTAAGACTCATATTTCGTCTTACTTAAGACTCGTCAAATAAGGCGAAACGCTTGTCTTAGTTTCCACTGATAGCCAAATAACAAATATACAATAACTTGTGGTCAAACGTTGTATCAAGGTAAACCACTAATGATTTACATATGGCAACAGATTAATCAACTTCATTCTTGAATATCAACAACAAGAAATTGCTTTCATATAATTTGAACAAATTAGTGAATATTTTGATTCATTAATTAAATAGTTATTCATTTTTGTTTTAGTTTAGAGCTATTCAGGTTTGTATCATGAAAAGGCTTTCCACGGATTATGCACAGTTTTAACTTTACTCAATCTATAATTAGTAGAATAATTTCATAGTTTGTTAGTTGGAATAAATAATTTTAGTATTCTAGTCATTCATAAGTTTCAAGTTGAATTATACGTTAATATGTAGTTTGTTAAGTCGTAGACATTACTATGACTTTCATTGTTTATATACTTTCCAAAAGAATATTCGGTGAGACTATAATTTATGAACGACCTTTGAGCAACTTTCAAGTGACCTTGTAGTATCCACCTACTTACTGGGGTTAAATGAGGTTTATATGTAAAGAATTAGGATTAAGATATACAGTTGAACGTTAGGGCTAGGAATTAGATTTAATATTTTCATCATGAAGTGACATCAGCTATAATGTCAAAACTTTATTTAGCTAAATAAATGAGTTACTTTCCCGCCAAAATTCAAGGCCTGTTATCGCAAATCTGATTGGTTCGTCCGTAAATTATAGTCTCACCCTAATGAATATATATTTGTAGAAGATCCAATGAAACGATTAACACTAAGATACTATAAGTCAGGAATCCAATTTTCTATTAATTGAAATATTGAACTTTTTTTATTTTTATACAAAGATGGATAGTGGCTAGCGGTAGAATCCAGGACGTGCGTTTCGTCCTATTTGGGACTCGTCAGTTGGATGTACCTGCATCTGAGAGTTGATGGTCACTCTGGGACTCGTATCCAGTACCGTTCGCTTCAAACGCCATCGCGTTATCCACTTAGCTACTAAGTCCTGTTAGCCACTTGGTTGTGCAATTGGGTGAAGTTTAAATTCACTTTGTATTGTTTGTTTGAATCTTCACATTGATGTTTAGGACGAAACGCGCATCAAACTGGATTCCACTATCAGCCACTATCCATCTTTGATTATAATGCTTGTTAATTAAGGCAATACGCACAAGATGTATATATGCCAATAAGAGACTAATCAATTGCAGTTTTAAACATCAATAGGAAGATTCAAGTAAACAATACCAAGTGAATTTGTTATTTTTGTTATAAATTGAGAATACAAAAGATTCTCTCTTTTATTTCAGTTTCAATGTTAATTCATATATACAAACACAAAGAATATTTCTAAGGTTACCGGTAGTGATGTTGACCTTAGAATTCTAGATACTTTTGAAAATGTTTCCAATATTAATAATTATTTTCATTAGTTAGTTTAAATGAAGATTCAATTTCATCATATTACTTATTATTGTTCTATTCTTCTTTTATATTAATTTTAGAATAGAACAATTAATCATGATGCTGGAAGTCATGGAATACCTGGAATATTTTTTGTTTATGATACTTTTCCATTAGTTGTAAAAATAACATATGATCGTGAATTATTAGGGACATTTTTTACTCGACTTGCTGCATTAGCCGGTGGAATATTTGCAACAGTTGCTTATCTACGTGAAATATTATCAAATTTACCTGATATTTTATTTAGAACACGTTTAGGTCGTCAATGGAATAATAGTTGGACACGTGGAAAACGAAATATTTGCATTAAACTATCTGAACATCTTCCAAATAGTTTAGATAAAACTGGTTTTTTAACTCCATCATTAGAGAATGTATTAAATCCAGACTCAGATACTTGATTTAGACAATTTAGTCTCCAATTCAATGAATTACTCTATTGTAGTCATTATTATTATTATTATGAACACTATTACTTTTCACCAGCTCTATCTGTTTTCTGTATCTAATATTACCTTTTCTGTGATTTGTATTTATCGGCACAATGTTTATGTATGTATGTGTGTGTGTGTATATAAATGAGTATAACTTTTTTTGTCTTGTACTGCTGAATTACTTTTGTGTACAGTATCTTTGACCTTTAATATCCAATGTATTCACATACTTCACTCTAGTTCCTTTATGAAATTTTGTATGTTTCTAAAAGATTTTTTTATTTTAATAAAATAATAACTACTAATACTACTAGTACTGCTGCTTATCTTATGCATAATTGTTAAAATTAGTTTTCGGTTTGTTGTATATATTTCTATATTTTATTGATTTTATACCTGTAAGGAATGATATCTACTTAAAGAAACAATAATGGTGAAATTCTTGTTTGTTGATTGATCGCTGATCGCCGTGTTGTAAAGAATGTTCTAGTATCATTTTCACTAGATTCGTTAACAAAGTTCGTCGTTAATGATGAATAATCAGTGAGCGATTTTGTGGATATTATAGTAATTTAATAGTTGAATTCATGAGTCATTTGAAACTACAGACCACCATGAAAGACCTAGAAGAACTAGACGGCCGTTTCGCCCTAGTATGGAACTCCTCTTCAATCCCGCCTCGCGAGATTCGAACCTAGGACCATCAGTCTCGCGTGCGAGACTAAATTTCTAGTGAGAAGCTGTGACCAGTGGATTTCAACTGGATCTGCTGTGTGATAGCAACTCACTGAAGACAGTGGTGGACGGTGGCTCAATTTCGTGGATTGGTTGAAGTTAGACATTAACACAGTTGGATGCCGGCCGGTTCAGTGGTCTAGAGGTTGAGCGTTCGCGCGCGAGACCGACAGGCCCTGGGTTCGAATCTCGGGGGGCGGCATCATGGATGCGCACCGTTGGTGAGTTCCACAGTGGGACGAAACGGCCGTCCAGTGCCTCCAGGTCTTCCATGGTGGTCTAGCGTCAATTGATACATGAATTCAACTATTAATTGATGAATAAGACTGGTAATGACGACATGTTATCATTGTGTATGTTTGCATAATTGTAGTCAGTTGAAATAATGCATATAATCTAGATTTTATGATTATTAGTACTGATAAGAAAAAGTCTTATTTGATTAGTCAGTTAACAACGGGAAGCTTATACGTCACTGTTCATTCGTTAGTCGTGAACAATAATAGATTTATGCAAATGAATCCCGATCATGTCAGTAAGCATTAGAACCCATTAAAAAGCTATCGTCTCGTGAGTGTCAATTGAAAAGCCTTCATAAGTTAATTCAAGGGTCAGTGGTCCCATGGATTCATACTACTTTTTACTTTAATGCAACCTCCTTCTTTGATTGCTAGAAGAACATATCAAGATAAGTGGTGCTTAAATATGTTAACACTTGTCTCAATCAACTCATTCTATGAAGTGCTGTATTCTGAAGGGCCAAATCCCCAATTCTGAAATCCTAAACCTAATTTTTGCATTGATCGATTGTTCAGTTATATGTGAGTAATGATTTAAACAAAACCATAATTGTAACTGACGAATGCCTTTTACGGTCGACAGTCATATATCACTGCCATAAACTAATCCAGAGTTTATTTCGGTTGACCTTTTTCTAACTTTATGCTAGCAAACAGAATGTTCATTTTGATTGAGATATTTTGGGTTTACTACGATATAATTAGCTGAGCCCCAGCCGTTGTTGTTACCTTGACGTGATGATCAGGTTTGTCTATGATGGTGGCACAATCGAGTCATATTAACTAGAATACACATCCTTCCACACCAGACAGTTCGATTGGAGAGTGTGAGATTAGAAATACTAAAGTCATAGTTCGAAAGCGAATTCATAGTGATGATGTATTGGGGTGCGACAGAAGTAAGGTGATTGTCCATCAGACAATCAGCATCTGGTTCGATAGTGTCTTGTCACAACAGAATGAGGGGTTTAGGAAATGTGACGTCTAAAAATATCACATCTCACCTAGTTGTCTCGTGATAACTTTAAAAATACACACCTAACACATCAATAGCTACTTTCAAAGGGTTTCGTGATCGGTCTCGAGCAGATGTCCCACGAACTCGGTGATCACACTCCCACTTGATCGAGACCACTACTACTAAATCAGTCTATTCCATGTCCCAGAAAGAGAAGTATGGATTTAGGATATGGGAGGTTGGGAAGTGATAAATACCCTGATATATCTAACAGTAATCAAGGTCACTTTGTTTACATTACTTATTAGAAGTCTACGCGATAACTGTGGTCAACTGTTGCACAAATATCCATTCAGTGTATGAGGGACCGGGAACTGAGGACTGCCTACGTAACACTAACAAACTGAGTCAACTGATTTAAGTCATCAATGAAACGTGTTTAAGCAAGTAACATTTTAAGAATATATCGATTAACTAGGCGATATAATACATTAGCATTACTTCAAGCAATTAGTTATGGTGATAGTTTTACATCTAGTTATTATGTAATAACTTTTATACTGATCATAATTAACATCAGACAAGTAAATAATCTTTCATCAAGAGCTTTATATTCCAGAATATGCTTTCATCTGTAACTAATAATTTAGCCTGGAATCAGATGTGTTCATTTCTTATTACTGTGGTAATACCATGTACAGAGTCGGTTGGAGAATGCTGGTCGGCGGCCTGTGCTCCGTTGGCAGTAACAGGCGTAAATAAGTAATCACATGTACAATTGATTCATAGTTCATTAGGTGTATTAATTCCACTTGAAAAGAAAAGATTGATTCTTCTATATATTGTGGACACTGAATAAATATAACATACTTTTGGCATTTGTTAACTGTCTTGTCATTGAACAACGTGGCATTTATTCAATTTATATGTCATTAAAAAAATAACCTAAATAGATTGTTATACTTTTTAACACGTTAATTAAACGTTAGTAAATATGTAAATGAACATTGTGATAAGTGGTATTAACAAACAGTATTTTTATAGTGTTCACCGCTGAGCTAACTTTGGACAATCACTATGAAACATTGTACAATTGTTTCGTCCCTATATGGGGCTCCTCAATAGTTCACATTCACGGCCATACTGTGAATGGAAACAAGGATTTTAAGGTAATACAGCTACATCTTTACTTTTAGACCACTATTCATCCTTTAAAAACGAGAACAATTCTGTCCAATTTCGTATTACCGTTTTATCGATTAAGTGATATTTCAAAGATAGAATTAGGCTGAAATGTGTATAGGTTTTTTGTAAACGAACATACATGTGGGTGGTCTTATTACCATTACTATATTAATAATAATGATAATAACAGTAATAAATTTATTTGTCCAGTGATACGTTGGAACTCTTTATCTGAACAAACTGGTGATTATTCTCAGAAAGGGTTTCTTGGGGAGATTATAGTAATTTAGTAGTTGAGTTCATGAGTTAATCAAAGCTAGATCACCATGGAAAACCTGGAAGTACTGAACGGCCGTTTCCTCTCAACATATGACTCAGCAGTGCGCATCCACGATCCCGCCTCGCTAGATTCGAACCCAGGACCTAACGGTCTCGCGCGCGAACGCTTAACCTCTAGACAACTGAACCGGCCGGCATCCAATAGTGTTAATGTCTGACTTCAATTAATACACGAAATTGAGCTACACATCCATCATTACCTTTAGTGAGTTACTGTCTTACAACAGACCCGGTTGAACTCCACTAGTTATTGGTAATTGATATTTAAATCTAGTTACTTTTTTACTTTCAAGGATACATTTGTCAAAATTGAAAGTCAGTCACAATTGGAATCGGAATACTTGTAAATTTTCAGTACTGTTATGCAAAATCGAAATGATGAGTATGAATTCGAACTAACAATACAGTGTTAATTGATTGTAGGGTGAATGACCTATAAAACTCATTTCCATCAATAACCCAAAGCATTTAGTCATGTTCATTTATTGTGTTGAATCATGTTATTTGACTAGATGAAAATATGTATATTTTCCTGATCAGTGATCTTTTCTTTTATTTCAGATCATTTGTGAAGGCTTAAATTGACAATTCAGTTTTGTGGACAGTGATAACTTCACCACACTCCATAATTATATGATAAATCTATCCAATCCCAATTCATAACAAAACTATATTTGCAACTACTACAAAATTATTCAACCACTCCAAGATCATGTTATGTAAAAACAATATGAAAAGGGCAACTTAAATGTTTAAATACCAGCCAGCACGCACTAATTAACTACAGTGTGATGTGATTTGATTACTATGAGAACTAATAAATTGAACTACAAACATTTGATCTGGAGAAGAGAAAGAAGAATTTGTAAATTGTCAGTAGTATTTAACATGTTAACCAACCAAACAGTCTATAGGCAGCATTTATCTCAAAGAAAATGTTAAATAGTTGAATGAAGTATAACATTGAATACATCAACTTTATGGTTGAAAGGAATCAAAAATTCTTAAGAATCTGATATTATCGTTGATTGAAAATGACTCAATGAAGCTTCGTCCATTACACTAAAGAACGTAGTTTGGTATAATGGAACAGACCTTGGCGTGTTGGATCATTGTCTATGTTCAGAACAAATATTTGATTTTTAGTCGTTATACCCCGTGTGGATAGGACAAATATTATTGGAATAGTTTGATTATCTAGTCTGGTTATTGGTTAATTTGCCTGTACTAACTGTTGGACTTGTGACCTAAACAAATTGATGTAAGCGAATTGAATGCAGCTTCCGTTCCTAGTAAAGATCAAACCGAGCTAGGTTCAAGTTTAGCTATCAACCTACAGAAATTGTGGGTGAACACTCGCTGGATTTTCATAACACGATGAGAGTGGTGAGTAAAGTTGCTTGAGGCTTTACGAAACGTCCCACTTACAAGTACTGGGTATTTACAAGCAGCTTAAAACTATTTGAGCCGCGTTGCTCTTTTCTGGCTAACTACGAGTTTGCCGATAAACACAGATTCTTACGCAAATAATTTTGCAAAGTTTGCGTAGGGACCGAGAAGCATGGTGGTTAGAGCCGGATAACGAGTTAAAAGCAGCAAGTGCATATGGTAACTGCCGGAAACTCTTTCAACCCATCCGAGTCACTGGCAGAAAAATATCTAGTGTGAGTGAAAAAATATGTGGAGCTGATAGGATGCCAATCAATGACATCTATGACGTCTTGGACGATGGGCAGAGTCCTTCAAAGGAGAGCCCAGTTGATCAAACGCCCTGGGGACATCATCTAGACTGTCTTGTTCTTCATAGCCAGTAATGGCTGATCCACCTCACGAGGTGAAAGTCTACAAGAAGTCCAAACTCCTGGAGCACCAAGAGTTTCCAAGCCCAGATTACTTGCTTTTGGGGCTTTCTAAGGATGGTGA